TGGAACACCCGGAAGCTCCGGGATTTTCTGGGAATGTTGGGAATGGTTGGAATTCCGGGATTCCCCGCCGTACCTCCGGCGCCAGGTACTCGGGGGTCCCGCAGAAGGTTCTCATGGTGGCCCCGTCCGTCACCCCCTCCTTGCACAGCCCAAAATCCGTGATCTTGATGTGCCCGTCCTTGTCCAGCAGCAGGTTCTCCAGCTGGGAATGACCCCCAAAATCCAGGGAATGACACCCAAAATCCAGGGAATGAGCCCCGAAATCCAGGGAATAAATCAAGGGAATGAGCCCCAAAATCCAGGGAACAATCCCCAAAATCAAGGGAATAAACACCAAAATCAAGGGGTAAATCAAGGGAATGAGCCCCAAAATCAAGGAGTAAATCAAGGGAATGAGCCCCAAAATCCAGGGAATAAATCAAGGGAATGATCCCCCAAATCAAGGGAATGATCCCCCAAATCCAGGGAATAAATCAAGGGAATGAACCCCAAAATCGAGGGAATAAATCAAGGGAATGAGCCCCAAAATCAAGGGAATAAATGAAGGGAATGATCCCCAAAATCCAAGGAATAAATCAAGGGAATGACCCCCAAAATCAAGGGACAAAATCCAGGCAAGGATCCCCAAAATCGAGGGAATAAATCAAGGGAATGAGCCCCAAAATCCAGGAAATAAATCAAGGGAATGAGCCCCAAAATCAAGGGAAAAACCCCCAAAATCAAGGGAACAACCCCCAAATTCGAGGGAACGACCCCCAAAATCAAGGGAAAAACCCCCAAAATCCAGGGAATGACCCCCAAAATCCCGGGAAGGGGGTGAGAAGTCACCTTGATGTCCCGGTAAACGACATCCCGGGAATGCAAATATTCCAGGGCCGACACGATCTCGGCGCCGTAGAAACGGGCGCGATCCTCGGAAAACACCCGCTCCCGGGACAGGTGGAAAAACAGCTGGGAAACGGGGGGAAATCCAGGGAAAAATCAGGGAAAAATTAGGAAAAAGTCATTGGAACTCACAGGAATGGGAGGGGATGGGGAATCCAGGGAAAATCAGAGGTTTGGGGGATGAAACTCCCCCAGATCCAGGGAAAACTCAAGTTTGGGGGGACAAAATTCCCACTAAGGAGAAGAATCCAGGGAAAATCAGGGGTTTGGGGGATGAAACGGCCCCGGATCCAGGGAAAACTCAAGTTTGGGGGGACAAAATTCCTGCTAAGGAGGCGAATCCAGGGATTCAGGCCCCCCAAATCCAGGGATTGAGGCCCCCAAATCCAGGGATTCTGACCCCCCAAATCCAGGGATTCAGACCCCCCAAATTCAGGATTCAGGCCCTCCAAATCCAGGGATTCAGACCCACCAAATCCAAGGATTCAGGTCCCCAAATCCA